TAATGTTTCGATGGGTTAAGTTAAAACGTGTAAAAAAATAAGACTCGATGTTGCAACACGTTAGGAGGATGAATGCGGGATGTTCGAGCTCTGCTGTTTTTGAGACGAAGCGTACGGTATATAATATGTATCTAAGCGTGTCAAGTGAACGTCTCTCTACGTGCATCTGTTCCACTATTTGCTCACGCGTTTCGTTAATGGTGTTCCTCGCCATTTCTAAATATCGTGGATTCAAACCATCGTCGCGTAGTTCGGTACATTTTTATATGTTGAATAACGTACAAAAAAGAAGACGACACGCGTGATACAATGGTACGTTCAATAATACCTTACTTCCTTTTTGATATTTCAACTTTACATTCAAATTATTCGCTTCCCTCTGATTTTCCAACTGCATTTGTTTTCCTAACGAGTCTTTCTTTTGTAATAGTAACTTAGGATCGAAATTTAGGTAACATGTTAGGGAATTTGCGAAGTGTGTTAACGTGTGATCCGCGCAAGTGAACTTAACGAAACGCGAGCAAATGTTTTCCGCGTTGACGCGGCAAAAAAAATCCAGTGGTGGCTTAAAAAACCGTTGGAAAGGGGGAAGGGGTGGGGGAAGCGAAGAAGAAAAACGAAGAAAGTCTTTTATCGTTACTTGCGATTCGTCGCGAGATCTCGTCTGAAAAAAGGAACCAATCTCCGCGTAAAATATTGTATCTCTTCGTATTAATATATGTATATATATATACTTATATCGTTTTCTCCAAGTTGTGTTTTACTTGATGATGACAAGCTACAAACGAATATGTATATGTGTGCGTGCGTGTGTGAACGGCGCTCAAGGGACGCTTTTCCCGGGTCCTTAGGGCTCGTTGCTCGGATACAATTTTGGCGAATCGATTGTAGAACTGACCTCGCGTCTACAACACTCGTCGGATGCGTTTTCTCCGTGCGTGATCGAGACTCGTAGCGCCACGAACGAGCAGTGTCATAAACGACACTATTCTCTAACCGTCTATTATTTAAACGACGTTTAAAACGATCTTAGGAAAGAGGAATTGAAAGCGTGTTGTCTATCGAGGTAATTATTTTATAAAATGCGATATCGAACCGGAGTTCCATCATGTTCATTCTCGGTGGCGCAGACATGCTGTTGGCACGAAGGGAACGCGTCAAACAACAGGTGTTATTTACGCTTCGCACAGTTGAACTCTCGCTACCGTGCGTCGAGTGTTCAAGATAATCTCGTTTCGAAAGTTGAACTTCCAACCTAATCTTTGTTTTAATTTTTGTAAACACGAATATGAACATATACAAGTACAACTAAAAATGGCAAATATTTGAGTAAATAAATTATTACGTTCGAAATATTGCCCCAGTTATAATAGGCTAGAAAATTCGTGTAATTTCGAAAGATACTCGATCAGACAACGTAGTGGGAGAGTCAACTCTTTCGGTGCCACAATTTTATATGGGAAACGACTCGTTGTGCGGAGACCTGGTGAACGTATTCGTTATTCGTATTCACCTAACGCTCATGGGCGTTCACTGCGCGCGTCGATCGAGTATATCGCATTTCGTTACTGAGATGGTTCGTTTCGGCACCAAAAGAGTATCCACGAACTTAAATGGAACCCCGTGGAAAGTGAACCGATTATCGAACATGGCGGAAGAGGAAAAAGCATGCGTATCCCGAAGTCGATCCTATAATCCGGCCAAACGACGATTTTCGACGGATAATTCGTTGAACTTTTTTTCTGCCCGTCGTTACTCGTGGGAGCGACCACACGTTGTATAGGCGATCGTTGAAAATATAAATCACGAATCGAATAGACGATTATCGTTGCAACATTTTGCTGTTGATATCGTATAGGTATTGAAAAGTAAAGAACGAAGTGATTAACTGCCCTCGACTTTTCGTAGTCCAATTTGCCCACACGAAATACATAAGTTCTTTAGATTTCGCTTGGAGGTTAAGAAAAAAAAAATGAAGAAAATGAAAAACGAAGGGTTCCTTGGTTACCTTGCGAGAGAGTAATATGTACAGGAGGGAAAGTCTCTCTACGAGCGCACACGCTGGTGCGAAGCAATTAATACACCGAGATATAATTCCGGCTATCGGCGTATACATTGCTGCGGAACGTTCGCGAAGCCGACTGTACACTCGTCGGTGTTCAACGTGGTACCTGATTTTGTAACATTCTCTTCTTCGTGCGATCGGCTCGGTGGCAAGGTAGTCGGGAATTATTGGACAACGAAAAGGTCGACACACAAACACCTTCACGTATATAGGTGTATACGTATGTATATTATATATAGATACTACACTCACACACATACACACATATATACATATGTATTTTGTCTGTGAACGTGAAGTATGTTCAACGTATTATCTGTTTGGCCATCTATTTCGGTGAAATCACGTCGAAGGTGCAGACGTACATACGGGCAGCTGAAATAACCAACAAACATCGAAACAATGGGAATTAACGTGGATCAATATTTTACTTATACATTTGTGCACGTGATGATTTTTTTATCGATTTCTTATTTTCTTTCTTTTTTTAATTTTATTCCAGATATTTTTTTTCTGTGGTTAAACATTTTTTTTTTATCGAATCTTTGAAAATGGTTAGAACGGAAAATTGCGGTTTTTGTCTAATTTTCGGTTGCCCGTGTGTCCACTTGACTCCTGTTGAGTGACATATTAGAGCGATGATGATATCGCGCGGAAATACGCGCGGTGCGATATGCATACGATACGTTCCTTTAAGAGTACGATTTTTCCGATCTGCTTGCAGTCTGTTGCAGCGAAATATATGTATTTATAAATTCTCTCGTGTAATGCGCCAGTTATCTTTCCGGACAGTTACCATGCTGGCTTTTCCTATCATTCGTGACAGAAAAATTTCCCTCTTCTCCTTTTATGCGAAAGTGTTTATTTTTTAGTCCGGATATATACGATGTTCGAATCGATGTAAAAAAAAAAAAAATACTTTAAACAAAAGTATCAATCTTTTTCGATAATTTTCCGATGTATCGGGAAAGAATGGGTGTAATAGGAAATGAATTGGATGAAACCGGAAGTTGTACTACGGAACGTTTGTCACGAACGATGGAAATCGATTATTGTAACACAGCTATGTCGTAATTGTCCACGATTGTTAATGATTGTCCATTTCTGTTACACTTTTTGTCTTCTATCTGTTTTCGTATGTGGACAACCAGAACCTCCGACGAGCATTTGTAATATGCAAAATCGTTGATATTGTCGCGTGAAGAAAAACAAAAAAATCAGTATTCTTTCAATCCAACATCCCGTAGAATTGTACGCCGGTCTATGATTTTTACACCACTTCTTCGATTATAGTGAAATCAAATGTTTTTCGCAAGTATCAATCAATTTTTAAAAATGTATCGATCGATTAATAAATCGTGCATGGCATTAAGATGGTTTGTTTACTTTCTTTCTTAATTCTGTTGATATCCGTCGACGATTTGATAAGCAAAGGTAAGAACACAAAAGTAGATTTTTATGAAAACAAGGCAGATAGTTTTGCCGTACGTGTAATTTTTACAATAGTGTTACAAGATACACACATTTTCAAGGACACTTTTGTTAATACACTTTAAAGACACTTTACAATTCAACTTAAAATCGTTATCTCTTAATCTTCCGTTCTATCTCTAATTCGATTGCCACTTGTCTGTCGTTGTCACATGTTTAAATGTCAAATCTAAACTCCAAAACGGTCGTGTTCTCTTCAAGTATTTCCTTTAAGTTTCAAGTATCCAACTATCGTAATACAAATGCACGTCATAATTAAACACATTCTGAACACAAAAATGTTTCATCATTGTACCGCCAGAAAAAATTCATTAACAATGTTATTTTTGACATATGTACCAAACAAGAACATCTTACGGTACGAACTATTCCCTGTTCGTCGCGGTCAAGTTAAAACCGCATCGATTTGAAATGCCCTCCAATACGTCGTGGCTGTTACCCGATTGGCGGTTACCGGTGTAGGTTCGAAAGAGAAGGGAATGCGCAGAAGCACGTGGATTTGTTTAGACGACTGTCAAGCCCCTTTCGTAGCGCATTTACAAAGTCCGTGGGGTGCTTCCGGTAAGCCCCGTAGCTGGCGGCGCTTTCCCGACAAACGTTACCGGGGGCCAACGGGGGCGACAAGATCCACTGTCTATTCCCCTCCCCTCTCCTGTCTGGCCGTGCGTTCGTCCCTGCCTTCCCGTTCCCCTTCCCCACAGCGTTACACCTCCGATACGGAGACAGAGACAGGGGCAGGGGAGTGACGACGGCGACGATGCCCGGCGAAACGAGCGATGGAGGAGGGGAAGACATCAACGGCGGACAAGGCCGCCATATTGAATCACTCTCGTTAATTTTTGCGCAGAGGCGGTGTGAATTTTTTCTCTGCTCGCGCGGAAGGTAGCGGCTCAAGGTTGTGCTTGGGATTCGCGATCGTGACGATCGTTTCGCGGTTACCCGCTGGCACGCGTCATCCCCGGGGGACGTGTATACAATTGTGTGTGTTCGTTGTTTTCTAAGTTGTTTATTTTCGTCGACAGAATTGTGGACACAGAGAGAAAGAAAAAGGAAGGGATACGACGGTGAAACGATGTGCGGGTATGCCACGCGAAAAAGGTTCGCGGAAACATGCGGAAATCGTGCATGTATGATCGCGAGGCGGTGAAGTGTGCTCGTGATAGGGAGAGACACTCGAGGGAAGCGAAGTGTACGCGTACACTGACTGCGGTACGTGGTGTGCGCCATGTCATTGTACGTAAGCGATAGTATAGAGTGTAATATATCGTATAGTGGAGTGGAGTGAAGTGGAGTGGAAAGCGACCGGCCGCCTTGCCTGCCTAACTGTCTGCCTAACAGCGTGCCTGCCTGTACCTTCGTTGGCCGCCTATCACTCTACACATTACCTGCCTGCCCGTCCATTCGTTGGTTCGTTCGTTCACTCGTTCGTTTGCTCGGTTCGTCTGCTTTATGTGGAATAATTGACTTGTATGTCACAAGCGATTCGCACAAATTCGGACCAACTTTGATTGACCTCCTCTCAGGTACGTATGCCTTCCTGAATCGCGGGAGGCGTAAGCGTGTGTGGGGGTCAAAATACTCTCGGTACTCTATCGTTGCAGGGAAGGTGCGATTATCAATGTAGCGGCGAATATGTTGTGCACGCGGAAACATAAAGAGTCGCGTGTCGTGTGGTCGGTGTGAGCTGGCGTCACTCGTCGTCAACGAGCGTTTGGGTACACGGACTCGTTCGACACACCACGAGCCACCGATATTTTCAGTTGCATGCCCGATTAATTACAATCGAATGATTCTCGTCTGTTTTTTTCTTCTGCTCGTGTTCGACCAACGAATTCTGATATTTTCGTTGATGATTCAGCGTGATGTCAGAATCTTCGTTGGTAATTTGCTAACTGGCTGAGAGTGATAAAACGTGGGACATCGAATTGATACGAATCAGTATTACATGATTGTGTCGCCTTTGATACTCTTTTATGGTTTCCTTTTTCGGATAATCGTGTGCACGTATTAGTTTGGTTGTTTTAATGTAAGGAACAAAGTATTCTTTCTGTGCTGGATAGAATAATAAGTTGACTCGTTTTGGAATAATTCTCCCAGCATTAAGATTTGCTGACCAATTCCGACCAATAGCGTACGTTTATTAGGTTAGGAAGAAAGTACAAGATTACCGTAGGTCATTTTAGGATTCTCGGACTGGTTGGAGGACTCTGCAGTATTTGTTTCTTGACCTGTATTTGTTGATTTGACCTGTTAAAAAAATACTGTTGAAAACTAGATAAAAAGTTGCTATAATAAAAACTATTAGCACTTTTTCAGAAAATATATAAATAAATGAAATTAAACAATTTATGTATGATGAGAAAAAGATATGTCAAAGTTATCATAAGTTCGCTTATTTTTACATATAGCTTCTCTGATCTGTCGAACAGTTAAAGCCATAAAGCGCGAATGAAAAATGCTGTGACATCAATTCGAGAGTTTAGAGATCCTACTCTGTCACGTGATCTGGAAAGTGTGCAAGGCGGGAGATCCAAGAGAAACTCCGTGAACTAGTTAATTCTTTTGCATTAGGACATTCTAAAAGCGTGTTCGTGAAAGATAGCAGTTCAAAAAAAAAGAGAGGAAAGAAAAAGAAGCTGTGTTTATTGAAACAATCTTCCAATATATCTTATGGTACGTGTATAAACACGAGAAAAGCGAGCAGTAAATAGAGTCGTATTACCTAGAGGTCGCGCTTGGTTTCTTGATACAATAGTAATTATGAGATGCGTGAACGATATCAAATACGTTGCAAAAACATTGCAACTCCTTCGTCCCTCCGGGTCGGGAAAGGCTGGCAGTGGGGACTCCGTCGAAAAATCGATTTCCCGTAGGGCATAAGGGCGCGGGAGGAGGGCGAGGGCAAGGGAGAGAAGTACGGAGACGAAATTCGGGAAAATCCGCAGATATATATATATATATACAGAGAGAGAGAGAGAGAAAATGGGGGGGATTGGTTTCTAGCCCGTTCCGATGCCGCTCGTGTGGGTGAGTGGCTGACTCGTGTGGAAGGGGGTAGACCGTCGACGGGGTGAGGGGAGAAATAATTAATGTGCGACCGTACCTCTCCCCTCGCGGTACAGGGCACCCCTCTCCCCCTTCCACAGTCTTGTACCGCTACGCTTAGTTGCCATTGTGCCGAGACGCCACTTCCGAAGCATCAAATTCAATTCTTCGATTTCGTACCGCCACTTCCTTACGGAAAATTCGTGAATACAGAGAAAGCGAAGGGCACGCGGCGTATCGTGCTGCCGGCAGCCCGGCAAAGCGCGCCAATATCCTCCTCGTGTACGATCTTGAAGAATATATATTCTTCTTTGAACATCTTTGAATACTACGGAGGTTAGGTTAGGACATTGCTTCCGTGGATATCGGCCGATCGCCCGCCTTGTGCAGGCAAGCACACGATCTTTTTATCGCGCGTTTTAGTCCGCGAGTTGATCGTATTACCGGTGTGGTGTGCTACTGTGTGTTGTGATTGCGTCTTTCGCGGCTTCGAGACGGTCGCTGCTGGAAATAAGAGGGAGGCGAGAGCATGATGCTCTAGTGCATATAAACGAAATGCTCGAATGGAGATTTTGGTAACCCAGTTATTTTTATTCCGGCGAATCTTTTCTATTGCTTTCGTATCACGGCATCGTGAATTCCATGTCTCATCGTTTCTACCGGACTTCATCTTCGATGTGTTCTTTCCCCCCTAGCGAACCGCGTTCGCTGTGTCGTTATTGTTGAAATCGATCCAATCGAAATGAACCAGATGAATCGTGGTTATTAATAAATGCCTGTGTTTTTATAGAGTTGCCGCATTTGAAAGAATGGAAGCCATGGATTTGGACGGGGATGCAGTAGTGGACTTGAGTGTTAGGTAAATTGAGAAAAAATTCCGATTTTCTTTTTCCATTTTTTTTCTTTACATGTTTAACTGGTGGCTCATGTTCTTGTGTTAGATACACATTGTTGAGAATTATGTCAATTCAAAATTGCTGTTGTTTACATCATTATGATTATGAAATGAGGCTATTGTTATACATTATAGTTATCAAAAATAAAAGTAAATAATACATTACAATATATTATGATAACACAGCTCTTAACGAAAACAAGTTCTTATCACTACTGTTGAATAGAAGTCCTTACATAAAAGTAGATTATTCTTTTTTCTTTTTTTTATTCTTTTTCATACACATTTATTTGTTTATTTAATGGATGTGATTTTACATGGTTCTTATTATTGGATTATAAAATTTGTGATAATTTTTATCACTAAGTAATGTATGTTTTCAGCAGCAGTGGCAGGAGAAATTCTCCATCGATCACTGCTAACTCTGGTGATGTAGGAGTTCCATTAGATTTAGGTGTTCACTTTTCTTCAAGTCCTAATATGGACAACAACATACCAGAAGCACGTAACATTCAAAATGCAGCAAGGGGCATCTTAGCTCCCAAGTCAGGTGATGATAGGAAGACACGCCGTAATCTCAGACCTAGGATTGAAATAAGTTATGCAGAGAGCCCTGATGAGCGTAGAATAAATGGTTACGTGAATGGAAATGCAGACAGTGATGAAGGTTAATTTACAAAATTGCATAATTATTTATAGCTTCAATACCATGGCCTTAACATATTGCTTACTTATATAAGCATGTTTAACAAAACTTGAAATTTCCATTTATTAGGTGATATGCCTCCCTTGCCTCCAATAAAAGAATTATCATCAGATGAGTTAGCTGAACGTGAAAGGACACTTAGAAAATTAAGGGATGAACTTAGATCTGAGGAAATGAAGTTGGTTCTGTTAAAGAAATTAAGGCAGTCCCAACAACTAAAAGAAAATATTGCTGCTGTACCAAAAGTACCCAGTAAACTACCACCACCAGTTACAGTACAACAAGCTCCTCATAGGTAAAATTATAATTAAGTTTTATTTTCTAAGATTACATGTTGATTATTAAAACAACATATCTGTGGTCAGTCATAGGACAGGGAAGGCACCACCACCTTTGCTTAGAGGACAACCTGCACCTATTAGGAGCAGTAGTTTACATGCTCCTCCACCTGGAATGTTATTACCACCCACAGTTGGTCGAAGTTCTACTTCCAGTACTGGAATGCCACCTAATATGGTCATACCACAACCACCTCACCCTAGGGGCAGGCCACCTAGTGCAACACCAAATGTATCGAATTATCATGCACCAGCAGACAGAACTGAGAGGTCTACAAAAGATCCAACACCCACCCCAGCTCATCAAGTAAGTAAGGTACAACATATCACAAGTTTTTCTTTATATATATATATATGCATATAAGTTTCATGAATGTATATTATTCAAAGTGTTATATTATATATTAAAAATACTTGTTTACATTATTTGTGAACTATGTAAATAATCATAATTGTGTTTTTGTAAACACAAAGCTGCTTGTTGGATCTCAAGAAAATAAAACCACCGCATCCTTAAGCACACCTGTGATTTCAGAGCAGGTATATCCACTAGTCAAAGTATACGTTTAGTCTCTTGTCAATCTAATTCTTTATTAAATAATGTGTCAACTTTCTCTTGCCTTCCTAACAGCCATATCATTTCTTGTTTACTATATTTAACTCACTTATATTTCCACTTTTTCCTCCCTGCTTTTTTTTTACATTTATCATAACATTAATATTTTATTTTATACAGAACTTACAATCAAATTCATAAAAAATCCTATCTTATATGTGATTTTAATATTCATGTCTAAAACTACAGGAGAGACCAAGGGATGATAATCAGACACCTGCTCAACGTCAGGCGGCTGCTAAGTTGGCTTTGAGAAAGCAACTTGAGAAAACTCTGTTACAAATACCACCACCAAAACCTCCACCACCGGAGATGCACTTTGTACCGAATCCGTCTAATACGGAATTCATATACTTGGTGGGCTTAGAGCACGTGGTTGACTTCATTACTAAGGAGCCTGCTATTCCACCACCTCCTGAACCATTTGAATGTACTCAATGTAAAACGGATTTCACACCCGTGTGGAAGTGGGAGAAACCTGTGACTGGTGGCAAAAAGGAAGGTCCACGAGGACAGCACGCAACTTTCCAGAGACCTCCGGCAGGTCGCGATCCTAGGGTCATATGCGAGCATTGCGTAACAACCAATGTGAAGAAAGCTCTCAAAGCTGAACACACTAATCGGTATGTAATTTAACACGTATAAAACACAAAACATAATAATGAATTTTATCATGACATTTAATATGTAAATGCGTTCGTATACAGATTAAAGACAGCGTTCGTGAAAGCACTGCAGCAAGAACAAGAAATAGAACAAAGGTTGGCGCAAGCAGCATGTCCAAGTCCAGATCCACCTCCTCCAAAACCAGTTCCTAAAGCGGCTACTCCTACGAGGAGAGTGGCCACACCACCAGCTCCTCCACCGCAAGTGTCACCGGCACCGACGCTAGCACCAACCCCGCCAGCGCCCAAATTACAGGAGCATCCTCTGGTTAAATTGGCCGAGAGTGGGAAGTTCAGCCCGCACCATGCTGCTGCAGCTGCTTTGCAACAACAGTTGCTTAGAGGTGATTGTAAAATGTTTATTTTATTTAAAACTTGATATAGGTACACCGGGCGTAACAATTAATACAATTTTTTTAGAGTTAGCAAAGAATCCTGTACCAGGTTTACCGCCACACCAACCTCTTCCTGCTCACATGATGCCACCGTTTACCTCGATATTATATCCGTATCAGCTGGCAATGGCGCAAGCTGGTGGAAAGGGTCTCGCAGAGTTACAACGACAAGCGGCAGACTTGCAACGCCAATATTTGCTTGACATGATTCCGTCACAAGCGTCACAGGCGCAGGGCAATCAGGCACCACCTCGAGCCCATCCACACAATTGGAAAACGTAACCGGACGCATTTAAGGATCGATCAGTAAATGCAAATAACAAATAAAACTGCAGAGCTGTGTTAGAGAATATTGAGGAATGCAAAAATACTCGTATTCTTTTTCCACGACATCGTACTAAAGTAAACAAAAATTTCTTCTTATTATGGAAATGTGGCAGTCACATTTCTATGACAGTTATAGAATAATATACCAATTGTGCACGGATTGGTATCTTTATTTACAATGTGAAGCTCAAAAAAACATGGAACAACAGGATAAGACACTTCCTGTATTAAAACGGTGGAAAAACTTCGAACCATCATTTTGTGAATATGCATTGATGTGTGAGTGTGAATTTGTCATTGTTACCCGAAGCAAATCGAGGTTTTTATCGCCAGGGAGGGTAAAAAATAAGTCAAAGCTTTGTAATACACCATAAACATAATTGTACCATGATTTTCCTCGGTGGTTTCAAAGGGAAAAAAAGAGAAAGAAAGAAAGAAGGATGTCTTTACTGATTAACCGAATGGCCAGCAACATAAGAAAGTTTCTCCGATTGGTTCTTTAAGAGCAATATCCGTTTTCTTTTCTCGTATGACCCTGTGTTGGTATTTAACGGTACTGCGAAAATGGAAATAATAGGTGATTGTCAATCAATTGGAGTAAGTGCATAATAACTCGAACGCACATGAATGAATATAATTGCTTCAATTATTACATTATATATATTATATATACACATAAAGAACCAAGTGGACATTTGTAAGGCACTAAGGACAGTAATAAGTGTTACGTGATTATTAAATAAAAAAAAAATTGGTTGATTTACGATAGTAGTGATAATCGAAGAGAGAATGAACGCGCGCGCACGCGAGCGTAAGCACGTGACGCGACGCAACAAAGTTGAGAGAGAGAGAGAGAGAGAGAGAGAGAGAGACGGAGAGAGAGAGAGAGTGGAAGAAAGAACAAGTGGGATGTTTTTAGGCCCTTGATAATATAATTACGCCGACCTTTGTCGTTGGTTTGAATAATTTTTGCAACCATCGGCGGTACCTGTACTCTGTGTATATCTCTTTATTTTCTTTAAACTGTGAGTATTTTTAAGGTGATTAATAACAATTGTGTGAATGAATGAAAGTGAGAGAGAATGTGCCTGCGTGTGTACGTGTGTGTGTGTGAGAGAGAGAGAGAGAAAGAGACAATTGTAGGCTACGATGAAAGAAAAAAAGGGGGGGAAAAAGAGCAAACGATCTTTGTAAGACAGTGTGTGTCAGTGATATAGTCAGCAACAAACGAATGTGGGAGTGATAGTAACGTTTTTCTTTTCTTTTTTGTTGTCGCTACAAGAGGACAGAGAATGAGCATTCAGCATGTTTTTTTTTTTTTTTTAATAAATGAAAAAAGTGTATAGAGTGACACGAATGTCATTCGCGCACAAAATGTAGGAAAATTTCGTGATAAGACTTCTTCAGGCTCACTTTAATGCAGGATTTATGAAAAAAAAGAAACGAAAAAGAAAAAAGATTTTTCGACGTCGAACGTTTATGATGAAAGAGAAAAAAATATATATTATATATGTTGAAGAGAAGGGGAAAGAAAGAAAGAAAGAAAGAAAGAAAAACTAGGATGTAAAGTCACTAATCATAGCGCGATTGATTTCATGTGTCACATTGATGTAAAAGTATTTAAAGAATTTAAACAGGTCATATGTATCCAAAGTTTTTTCCGAAAGAAAACGAAAAAGAACAAAAAAAAAAGTAAAAAAAAAAACTTGCTTAAGTGGCGGTTCGCCGAATTTTTCGAATCATCCTCTTTTCTGACAGACAAAAAAAAGAGATAGAAAAGAAAAAAAAAAGGTATCTGCACTTTTAACCAAAAAAAGAAATGAGGTTAAAACAAAAATTTCTCCGGCACACATCCCAAACAATACTTATTACCACCCCCACTCTGAAATAATCTGATTTCTTCATCTGATTCTGGGCTAACCAATCGATCTTGGTCACAATTTTTCCGAATCACTAAATATATAGTTAACTGTAGTCTTGATATTTCTCGGTATATGATACAAGTTAATAAACTAAAAATAGCATAATCATCTCTCTTTGTACTACGTGATATAGATTTTTGAACTCATAAACTTGATATACATGTACACCGTAATAAGTCTATCGATCGCATAATAGATCAAGATCTGTGTTTTTTGTGTAAGAGAATCGAAGTAATGTCAATCATTGTCAACTTGTCATATTATTACCAGGGCGCTACCGCTGTTATATCCTCCTGATCGTGAAAAATGAAAAAAAAGAAAAGAGAAAGAGTAACGAAGATGAAAAAGCGGATTTTATTCGTATAATATTTATCGTTGCGATCACGTGAAGCGAGGGAGAGCCTGGTCTTTTAACGCACAATAACCGTGTACGACCTATCGTTCTTATTTAATTAGCAATTGTTAATTTTAATTATCGATTAATCGATCATTATATATGTACATGTTCATTCTTTTAATTTCATAAATTTTATTTTTCAACATCTAGATATTCTGTAAGAAAGAGGGAAAAAAAGGAGACATTTACTACTTTTCTAACCTTTACTATCCAATCACGTGTGTATGTTAAACATTTGCGTTTCTGTGCCAGCCTCCCTTTCTTCGTGACAAATCTATGTTGTTCAATTACGAAAAAGCAGAAACTACCGAAGATGTGCGCGGTACATCACTCTAACGACTGCCGAATTCGCGTAAGACGTTCCGAGCGATCGATACTCGCATTGTAATCGATCGTCGATCTCGTTCCCTTCGAGGGCGAATCTTTCGCGATGTAAACAGAGGAAACCGTTCAAGTCGCATTGCATTTTTTTTTCACACGGTAACGTGAAACGGGGGTAAAGAAAGAGCAACGCAAACAAAAAGAAAAGAAAATGAGAAAAAAATATTGATTAAGTTTCTTCCTATCTTCCTTTCTAGTCTTGTCTTTCACCTCTGCGTGGTGCTGATTTAAGAATTGAAAGCGCTACCAAGCGCGAAAGTATAATTTTATATTCTAAACGCAAGATGAAACAAAACAAAAACGAGAAAAAACACAAAAAGAGGAAATTTTTAACAAAAAAATCTCGCTGCAAATTTTGTTGACGCAGGGCGGTAGTGTTGTGAAACGAAACAAAAGAAAAAAAAAAGCAAGTGGAACTGAAACTGAACTGAATCGAAGTTTCAAATCTGATATAGCTAAAGCAATACAGAACTTGGAACGTTGTGGAATAGTATTCTATATAAGGTATTTGGAAAACAAAGTAAAAAAAAAATGGTGTGTAAGGGAAAAACGAGGTCCGATATTTCGTGGGGATCGCAGACGAAGCACGAAAGAGATAATAGTGTTCGATGAAAAAAAAAAGATGTCTTAGGCGTAACCGTGGAAAATTGAAACGTCCAAAGAACGAAAGCAAACGAAAAGAAAAAAAAAACGTAATGAAGAAAAATCTAAATTCATAATTATTGTATCGTAAGTCTGGCTACCTGACGAGAATCTCTGCCCCCACCATTTATAGGATTAGTAGTTTTAAAAAGTACAGATTTACCGAATACTCTGGAGACTACACGAATAAAGCTTATCAATGATTGTATCTCGAGTGATGATTTATTATTTACGCTCTTGAAACGTTGTCAGCTTTTAATGTTACATGTAAACGAAAAAAACGGAAAAAAATGAAGAAAAAGATAAAAAAAAATATCCTTGGAAGAGGAAAAAAAGTCTTCTCGCTTGCAGCGTGTTGTCATCGTTTTTTCATGCGTGTTCCGTTGGGAGTCGACGAAACATTTTGTAAATGTAACGTTCGTTTCGTCGACAACCGTGTTGTGTTGTTAACACTTTTGTCTAATTCGCTTGAGAACAAAATAATTATCGCGTGACTCGAACGCTTTCTCGATAATCGTTAAGGTACAAGAGGCGGATTAACGGCCTGCGATCGTTTAGTCTTTAGGAGGTACCATTAATTTTTTACTATGTTTGTACATTGACCTAAAAACGCTCAAGAATTTCGTCATTACAAACTCTAATCCTTCTTTTGTTCTTATTCTTTTCATTTTATTGATTTTCATCTATTGTTACAAGTGTTTAACAATTGTTTTGACATCCTTGAAACTGTGCATATTAGTAATTTTTATGGACATTAGACGAAATGGCATTCATCCGTGGTTCTTCTCCGTGACAAATGTGCCATTTATCTTCTTCCATCGTCATCGACGTTGTGTAGTGTTCGTTTCGCGAAAAGAAGCACGCGAGTTCTCTCAGGTACTGCACGATTTAATCGCGGGGTGTCTCTCGCGTCGCCCTGTCCGGCGCGAAATGTAACGTGTGGCAAAAAATGAATCGGGGACCAGTTTAGCGGGTTGAAAGATAAGCGCTATATTTAGAAACTCGACGTAAAACTTTCAACTTATGCAAGATACTGATTGAGTTCAGCTTGTCACCGAAACTTGCTCGTTCTCTGTCGTGTTTTACCATTTTCTACTATTCATTTCCCAGATTTATTCGTCTCGTGTAAAAGCGCCATAAACGTGCCGCGGCCAAGATTCTATTACCGTTTAGAGAGAGAGAGAGAGAATGTCCCAACGAACAAAGATACGTCTCTCTCACATGTTTCTGGTTTAAAGTTTAGAAAGTACCATTATGCATATAACCTGTTGCCCCATTTTTCGTACGTTTTGACCATTTCCTGGAACTGAATTTTTATCCCCATTTAAAAATTTTGCGAAAATTTTTATAATTTTTACGTAAACGCATAGAGGATCGTTGATTAATTTTGTTTCTTTTCGTTGATCTCGGTGAGACACTTTTTGAAGTGTTTTGAGCAAAACGAATACAACGTCGGATGGTCGCAGGTTCTGCAGGCTGCTGCGAGATGTGAACAGCATCGCAAGCTTTCACGGCAACAGGAGGCCCATAATTCAGGACCAGCTGCGGCACAATTGTAGCAGTAACAGTCACCTGGAAGAAGTAGAAAAAAATGTTCACGCGCAGGTGAAATTTCCGTGACCGATCGATCATCTGTTTGATCGAATACGGTATATACAGTGTAGTAGCGTGTAAATCGTTTTGGAGAGATCAGGAATGACTAGAGTTAAGAATGTCAATGAACTTTCAATCATTGGGGTACTTTAAATTCAACTTTCATCCAATAGTAGTTCTGATTCTGTTTGAGTTAAAGTGTGTCCTTCACAAATTATTTACGTACTACTCTGGCAGTAGAGAAGCTTACCACCCTTCTGTATACGCTCTTTTTTAGGAATTCCTTCCCTAAAAAGGTTTCCTTCTCTTTCTTACACAGACCCTGTTTTCCTTTTTTCCCTCTAAAAAAACTTTATACTTCCGTTATTAAATTAACGACTCAGGAAAAGCGGCAGAATTTTATGTCTTTATAACATGCTATTTGTTTTGTTCATCGTGACTACCTTATTCACTTCATCTAAATTTTTCCTCGAATTATTAAAACCAGCTTTTAGAATTTGTATATATAGAAACAAGGATAGAAGCAAGCACTTACGAGAAAATGAAGAGACAGTGAGACATCTGATGGCCATCGCCAGAACCATTCAGGCATTTAAACTTGGAAGAACGTTAGTGCCATTGGGTCCAGGAGGACGTCACACATCATGACACTTGATTCCTTATGTTAAACAAGCGTAATGTGAAAGGGAGAAAAAAGACGAACAGATGCAAAGAGTATCGTATGTCATGTACGCCGCACGTGCGTATTTTTCATGTGGAAACTGGTCCAGAATCGAACCGTGCAGCTGTTCTCTTCAGTGTAATAAGTTCGATGATGGAACTCGCGTTTCTTCCCTCTTTACAGCATTTCCCTTCGTGATTTTATTTCCTGTATTCTTTATAGTCTATACTAACTATTTTTTGAAGTAAAAGTTCTTGAAATAAAAAAAAAGAACAAAAAGTGATTTAGTAAAGTTAAGTAGGAAAATTAATAATCTGTCATTACATGGGTAATCTGTCACATGTCATTCATCATTGTTCCTAAACGTCTTCCATAAAACGTTGAAATTTTTAATACTATTATTCCGTTAGTACCGTGAATTTTCGAACACCCCGTACAGATCGAAATCTCTATAGCGATCAAAGAGACAACGAGTTCACGATCTGCATCTTCCTCGAAAGCGGCGAAATGTATGTCACCTTTATATGCCTCACAAAGAAGGGACACACAGCATAAATAGAGAGAGAGAGAGAGAAAAGTTCCAAGAAATCGAGCGTTTCGCCGATGTTCTTTGCGGTTACATTCACAACAGGATAATTAGACAGTTCAGCAAGCATTGCACGGGTCTCGTGCGCGTAATGATAGTCTACACGGTAAATCATCGTTGCTCTCGTTTTTGAATGGTGAAAGGAGGGACGTAAGATTGCACTTCGCTCGTCCGATACAAATTATCATCGACGTTAGACGCATTCGCTCTAGGAAAAGGTTGTGCAAGGACACGCGTATGGTAAAAGTAAACGTTTCTGTTGATTTTCTATTTTCAGACCAGTCTCGTGTTCTATGGAAATCGGGTTTCTTTAGCTAACAGTAATTCTTTGTTTCCGATACGACACGTGAGTGGTCGAAGATGAAAATTGATCCGACGTTCGCGTGAGATTGTTTGCCTGTCGGATGTTGCTCATTATCTGTGAATTAGACGCATGGTTTAATTAAGTGGATAATGATTAAAAGCATTGATATTTTGTTGCATAAGTGAGACTAGTATCTTAATCGACAAATAAATTTGATCTTCAGCAAAATTTAAATCTAATTGACTTCAGACATTAAAAAGCGGAGGGGTTAAAAATTTGTGATCACAATAAAATATATAAAATCTTAGAATTATCTTGTTCTTTATAATATGTAAATTTTTTAAGGCCCCCACTAACATCCAACAAATCGAACTTTAACCTTTGCTTTTGAAAATATAACCTTTTCTAGTATCTTTCAAATTTCATTTTTTTTTTGTTAATCTACTCGTGTACCATAGCCGCATATTTTCTAAAATTGTGAATAATTTCTAAGAAAAAAAGCATAAACTAGAATTTACGGTGACTCTAAAGCCATCAGCAGAGAAAGTGCGTTGTCAGGTGATCATCCAAGCCTTCTTTCGTGAGGGGTTAACGTCGCGTTCGCATCTTCAAGGCAAAAGTAGAAACGCTTGCAAACGCGTAAACGCTGTTCCGGGAAAAGTGATTTATCGCGACGCTGTCAATTACAATTAGGAAGTAAATTTTCATCAAACGTTCGATCATTTTTCGTTTGATCGAATGTTGCTGTTTTGATGCACAAAACGAATGTTCTCGCATAATAATATGCAAACAATGCGTGGCTGGGAGTGGCTATAATATGCTTCAATTATTTTTAATAAAACGAAGCAAAGTGTGCGACTGCTGTTGAAGTCGTTGTTAGTGAAAGTGTACTGCTAGTATAGTATCCAAGCCTTCAACCGCGAAGGGTTAATGTTACATTGCTTAAAATAATTAAAGGATCAGCCACTGAAATACGTTTACGAGCAATATTTAGCAAGATACTTTGAACACGGTAATATGTTGTACACGATATTTCATATAAATGGTGCACTTAACATAGAAAAAAAAATTGTTAGGTAAAATGAAATGATTTTAGAGTGTGTATTAGCCTCTGTGTTTTTATCATCATTATTATACAGTAGTTTTTGTTCCGATGTAGTTATGCAAAAGTGCAATGCACCAATGCACACAGCCTATTCAAATACTATCCTGAACACCGTTTAAATTAATAACTTTTAAGGAGGAATAAAAAGTCGTGTTGTTTACATCTCTTAAATAACACTGTATTGGGGTTATATTTTCACACGAAAATATACAACTGAATCTTCCCCCATGACATATTCTTTCACTTCTATTCATTACAACTTCCTATAAACACTGACATTCACTGAAACTGTCGTCATTCATCTTAACGAACATTCGATCACCATAACCTATATACAGTCACGTGTCCAAAGTAAAAGCAGAAACGTTTCCCAACCGGCATGAGCATCATTTCGCGGGAAAGTGATTTATTGCGACACAGTAAATGCGGTAAAGTGCCAAAAAAAAATATCAAAAAACGACTTTGCTCGATTGAACGCCGCGTTTAATTCGTATATTAACACTCTCGCGTGGCGGCGTGCGTTTAACGTGGGCAAACAATGTCTGGGAGCGGCTATGTCAAGGTCAGAATCTCTATTGTACGTCGCGGAAAGTGGTTTGTTTTTCCATAACATCAGCTACGACTGTTACTGCTAGAATGTAAAGATGCAATTATGCACCGATTTTATTCACTAGTGTGTGTATATGTGTTGCATACGTGGAAGTGTGGGAGAGCGTACGTGCGTGAAATTTCAGAATCTTGGACGATTACCTTGAGGACAATCGACGGATCGTCTGGCCTCGGCTCTTCTGCATTCAAGACCCTCCTCGCCTTTCGGGCAGGACGTGAACGATTCCTCGATCGAATTTTCACCGAGTATTGCGTTGATCTGAAAGTTAATCGGTCAGCGTTATTGCGGCCGGGAAATGAACAATGTGTGCGCAATATGTTTTGCCTCGTTCGAGTGTTGATTTTTTTATTATAAATTTGGAATATCGATTTATTTGTTGTGTTTTGTTAATTTTTCATTTGAAATATTGATTTAATTTGAAATTTCAGATACAGGCATTTGGAATAGAATTTTTGTTGTTAATATGTAGGTTTGTGAAAGGATGCAGACGGAGGATTATTGGAACAAGGATACATGTACGTTAATTACTACCAAGTCTATTGTGGCATCCTCGCGATTGTTGTAATTCTAGAACATATAATTGTCTTGAACCGCACATGCATGGATGTTCTTCAATTACAATTTTCGTTACGCAACGAAAAGTACCGGTACTTTTTATCAGCGGACCGATTCACGCTCGTCGTTTACATTTTTATTCTGCGCGCATGCGCGTTTGTTATTTATGATGTTTATACTGGAGCAAATACACGAAATAGTAAAATTTATAATTTTCTAGATTTTTAATTTAAATTTGAATTTGAATTTGAATTCAAAAATTTCGAAATTTATTATTTATTCATTTATTATAATATTCATGATGGTCATACGAAGGACAGTTTTAACTGGATCTGTTATTCAATTTCTGGAAAATTTTTATTTAATATTTTTGGCCATAATACCGCGTTTTCAGATGATCGTAAAAAAAAAACGGAACGATAGGGGTATAATGTTTAAAGCTCACTCGTTTGAATGCTCCGGGCTTCGAAAACATTTTGACCAATTTCGCTAACGCGTTCTCTTCCGTGACGCTGGTGACATTTTCCTCGCAACGGTGGCCTACCAGCACCAAGAATAAGCAACAAAGTAGCAGCAACGCACCGCAAGAACACATCACGCCGTCGTGGTAACACGCACGACGAAAAAAAAGCTCACACCTCGTCCTGGATAATTTGAAATCGCGACTGGTGGCCAGGTGGCGGAGAAGCGCACAGACAGTTTGACTTCGCCGACGGTCTGCCTCTTGGAGGGGATATCCTACATTACGACATAGATGCAGTACGGAATATGTATAGTTGTTTGAATTGGAAGACGCGGTTAATCGCGAAAACTCGCGCTGAAATTTTCTCGCGCTAGCTAATCTAATTTGATCGATGATTTACTTCCCGCGTAAAGAAAGATTATTTCAGTTTGTTCTTTACCTTTGAACCTATGTTTCTGGAAATCTTTGTTGTTATACGTAAGAAATAATTCAGTATTTTTTTATAATCATTTTTTAATATCTATTTTATTTCATAGCTTTCAAAGTTTGTTCTTGGGTGCATCTTGATTCGTGTTTCACTGTATTAGGGCTCGAAAGATACACATGATGTGCGTTTCACGCGCGAAAATTCACCTAGGGATTAATAGAAACTTGTGTGCATGTAATATACAGTATGAAATTTTTCGTTGTGTCAATGTAAGAAAATTTTAGGGCGGAATATTATTTTAAAAGTGTATTGCATTTTGTACTTCAATGTATAGGCGTCGTAATTTGGTAATTTGTGTAATACGCAAAAAATGTGTTTTGAACTAAACGACGGAAGGGAAGCTGTGATATATGATATGTCACGTGATGTGTTTCAAGCTTACCATTCGCGAACGTGAATGCCCTTATTCCCTAAAATCTAGGGAATATACTGAAGTCCACAGGAATTTGTTCATACATAATGTATCGTTCATAATTTTCATTTAGTATTTAGTAGATTGCCAATAAATTTTATATTTTGCATGTATATTACGATAGGAGCTGCAGATATTTTTATACTGTTCAATTATTGTGACATAAAATAATAACCCTTTGAAAAACTCGATGAAAAGCAGATCAATTGAATAATTTAACTCAATCAAATCTTCATACAATAATATCCATTATTCATTCCCCGAGTTTATTTGCCTTTCACTTAATTTTAAATAAATTTTGTAAGTGCTTGAGGTGCGATTCTAAAGACACCTCCCTGAGATTAGAAATACATTTTCCTAGGGTATTTCAGTTATATCACGATTCTAACGAGGATAATGATATATAGTTAACCACCGTTCTGCATAGAAATTATTAAAATGAATTATATCGATGTCCACTTAGAGTTGCTTTGTTTTTGAAATATTAATTATCTATGCTACAAGCACAGAGTTTCAGTATGTGCATAAAAAATGTGAAGCATTAATGTAGAAAATGTCGTGTTACATATGCATGTAAACATTACGCAATAAGCGGTTTCCAGGGGAAACACATTGGACGGGACACCGCGAAATTGTATATTGTGTTGCGATTGTGATTTTGCCATTCAAGAAAGTAACACAACTTTGTTGCGGGTGTTATTGAATTCTTAGTGCAAACCCAATGACCGTGTGTTATCACGGCTGGAAATTTTACCCGTGAAATGTCAAAATGGCGTCTTCACAGGACGCTTGGTATCTGTCGTTGTTAGGACTAGCAGAAAACTTTCGGACTTCGAGTCCGCCGAATATTAAGTCGTGCATACAATGTTTGCAAGCGGTTTTCAATTTTAAACCGCCTCCGAGAGTGGAAGCTCGTACTCATCTTCAACTTGGTAACATCCTCCTTACGCATACCAAAAACATCGATTTGGCGCGGTCTCATTTAGAACAAGCGGTCAGTTGAATTATTATTGGTATTTTAATTAATTACGATTAGTGTTTCTTAATGTTAGTTTCCATCATTTTTGTGTACTTTATGTGAAATTCTGTGCATTTGTTTATCGTGATCCTAACCTTTCTTTTTATTTTGGTACTGTAGGTAATAAAAGACACGAAGTGATTAAAGATCAATTGGTGTATTAATCGATTAACTTAAGCGACGGTTGATTGTATTTTGAATGGAAAATACGTAATTCTCTCAATAAATCTATAACATTTGTGTTAAATTTCAGTGGCGATTGAGTCAAAATATAAACACTTTTGATGATGTTAAGTTTGAAGCAGCAAGTGTGGTTGCAGAATTGTATGAACAACAACAACAACCAAATCTTAGTAAACCAATACTACGGAAGGCTATAGAACTTTCACAGCACAATGTATATTGGCATTGCAGACTTATTTTCCAACTTGCAGTAAGTTGTCACTGATTTTAAATGATATTTATTATCAAACAAGTGCATAAACAATGTTTTGTTTGTTTCAGCAAATACATGCATCAGAAAAAGATTTTGTTGCAGCTAGTAGTTTGCTTGCAGTAGGTGTTGATTACTCTCATATCAGCAATGCAAGTTATACAAGAGTTCTGTTCTTATTGAGCCGATGTATGCTTTTATTAATAGATAAAAAGTTTACTGAAGTTCACCCTCTTTTAAATTCAGCTGGGCATCATGTTGAAAATTGGCAGGGTAGTCCACACCAAAAAGAATATTTAAAAGTATATTTTTTGGTACTTCAAGTCTGTCATTATTTAATGGCAGGACAGGTGAGCAATAAATGGTGCTTTATATTTCATTTCATATGTACAGTTTCTTTACATTTAGTTGTTTTGTTATTTATAACAGGTTAAAAGTGTGAAGCCTTGTTTAAAACAGTTACAACAGAGTATACAAACTATCATGTCTCCTAGTTGGCCAGCAGATGAAGTAGTCACAGGTTCAAATATTGGGGATATGTTTATATGGATGCCAAAGGACCACTTGTATGTTTTGGTTTATTTAGTAACAGTTATGCATTCAATGCAAGCAGGTTATATGGACAAAGCTCAAAAGTATACAGATAAAGCATTGACTCAAATTGAAAAACTCAAAAGTAAATAGAATAACCTAATGTGTTGAGTTTTTCATATAATTTTTTTGTGAAACTGACGTTTCTGCTATTTTACAGTTGTTGACAACAAGCCCATACTTTCAGTTTTTCAACTGATGCTATTAGAGCATATAGTAATGTGTCGACTTGTAATGGGAAATAAAAGTGTAGCACTAGCAGAAATTTCACAAGCCTGCCAACTTTGTAGGAGGCAACCAAGGTTACTTCAAGGTCATAGACCACAACTGCATGCTTTATTGGGACTATATGCAATGTCGATGAACTGCATGGAAGCCGCAGAAGCACAATTTACTGCTGCTTTAAGGGTAAGACCACAAAAATGTAAATATTACTAGGCATGATTTCAACGGTAATGTTTAACGTGTTCTCTTCTACAGACATCGCAAGAAAGGGAACTCTGGACTTTCGCGAACTTAAATTTGGCAATAGTATATCTTAGGACGAAAAGGGAAGCCGAATTAGGTGCTTTGTTAGAACGAATAAATCCCGAATCCCTACCATCTCATTCACACTCTTTGAGGGCGGCAGCGTATTATGTTCAGGGACTTCAAGCGTTCTTTGGAGCGAGATACAACGAAGCAAAGTACGACTGATAATTTCATACTTTGTAGAACATCACAAATTATCAAACTAATAAGTATATTTGTAGGAGATACCTTCGGGAAACATTAAAAATGGCCAATTCCGAAGATTTAAACAGACTTACTTCGTGTAGTCTTGTACTTCTGGGACACATATTTCTTTCTTTAGGAAATAGTAGAGAATCTATGAACATGGTCACACCCGCGATGCAGTTAGCTTCTAAGATACCTGACGTTCATGTACAATTATGGGCTACTGCTATACTTAAAGGTATACAGACTATTCGAGTGTATTTAATGGAAAAGGATTCACCTTTGAAATCTTTGTTGATAGATTTGTACAGAATCTGCGGAGATCCGAATCGTGAAAGTGAAGCGTATCAAATGCATTGCACATTTTCGCAAACGCTCTTGAAAGATCACTTTCAGAGCACACAAATGGGCGAACATTCTCTAATACAATGGACTGATGGGCCTGTACCTGCCTTGCCGAGCAATCCACCACCTTCTACGTCACAAGCCATTCTTTAATAATATCAAAATTTCTATAGTTCATATATTTGAAACGTGTAAAATATTTGGCGGAGCACAGAAATGTGTTAGGTTTGTACAATTTTGTTATCGCATCATATATTGAATAATAAAATCAGAGGTAACTATAGAAGCAGAACGAGCTCTGCTAAACGAGTGAAAGAAATTACGGCTGTATCGCAGAGGAAAAAAAATCAATTGCGAGTTAAGTTCAAAGAGCAGCGAATTTAATTGTTCAATACTGGGTATCAATCAATATCCAAATTCACTGTTTTTTATTTGAATATTTTCAGACATCTAAGAATCACAGACTTTCATTTGCGGAGTTTCATAAAGGTTATATATATATATAGGTTTGTACAAACAATTTATTGTAGTCATTTTCTATGTCACAGAGATACGCAAAAAGTGAAAATATGTATAAAATAACGATATATTTTATTATTTTGTAAATTGTAAATTATCTCGAACTTCTTTTTTCTTGTAAATGTATACATCTGCACGGATGAGAGGAGAAAAAAGAAACAGTGTTATCGCTTCGAGCGCATTTCTCAACATAATTATTGCACAAAGACTATTTTGAAGCCAACAGAACGTATAATTTATGCTACAAGAAGTGGTAGATTTTGATATGACATAGGTTAGAAATATCTGTTGTTCGTGCTTAAATTGAGGAGTACATTTAAGGATACATTAAAAAAACCTAAGTATTGACAGATTTAATTTTCTACGAGGGAAAATGATTATTTCGGCTTGGTTAATTTTTCCTTGCATCTCAGTTGCTCTCTAGAAGAAAAATTTACCTATGTGTGACATCTTATGCTTAGAAAAATAACGTAACGTTAATGTTTTGCATTATAAGTTGACTTAATTCACATATCTTTTTAAATTTATAATTCATTCATCTTGTTAAGTTTACATAGCACGTTGGCAAGTATGTTTTCAATTAGTATGTTTCAAATTGAGACTGATAAAATTATTATTACGATACAGAAATGTATGACGCGGATCGAAAAATACGATACACGTGCATATTTCAAAGATTATTACTTTATACGTCAAAACATAAATATAGACAAAATTAAACATTTTCGTGGGAAAAAACGAACGAATGAAATTGTTAGGATAAAGCATCAACAAAATATTAATAATATTTCCAACGTACTATGCTCTTCAATGACCAAAGTAGGCGTTTAAAAATTCGGGCTGTGGACACAACAGAAATACAGTATGTTCATAAAAGTGTATCCTTGTATATGAAAATATGTTGATAGGTTGCAGTACGTTTTCTGAGAGATGAGAAAAAGTGTCGTACCTATCGTATGCGTGGGGCGTATCAGTTGATGTGTTTTTATTAAACAATGTATGTATGTAATGTATAATTAAAATAAACACAATCGTAAGTAGTATTAGATAGAGCAATATATGAGAAAGGAAAAATAAAGGGGCCTTAATATGTGGTAAGCTACAAGTGGCAAAGACGTTCTGCCTAACTCTTTGCTTTGTTTTTAAATTAGGACATTGTACATATTTTAAATAGTAAAGATAATAAAGAGTAAAACAGAGGAAACTATAACGAATTACATGCCTGTAAAAATACTTTATTGTTTTTGTGTAATTATGTAATCAATATGGAGATTATATTATTTGAATTAACACTATTATTTTTGAGTTTTTTATTTGTAGTATTTATATGTACTCTTGATGGTTGTATATAATGATAAAATCCGTCAGAAATAAACGAATCTTGGCAAAAATATGGTTGTCTAATAAGTTAGTCGTTTTAAAAGAGTAATTTATCAATTTTAATCATTAAAATTATACACAACTTCCTTCTCTTTTTAATTATATTTTGTATTATAATAATAGTTGTACATAAATTGCTACAATTATCAGGTACGTTTACATTACTTCCTGTACCATACTTGTACAGTTTGCATTCGCTTGACTTTCTTTTGCAGCTGAAGAATGCCATACATCAAAGCTTCTGCAGTTGGGGGACACCCTAAAACGTTTTTACATGCATAAATAAGAAGTTTTCAATATAAAATACCACATTAAAGCTTACCTGGTACATATATGTCCACAGGCAAAATCCTATCACAACCTCTGACAACAGAGTAACTGTAATGGTAGTAACCACCACCATTGGCACAGCTTCCCATTGATATGACCCATCGAGGGTCTGGCATTTGATCATATACCCTTCTCAAGGCTGGAGCCATTTTATTTGTTAGAGTACCAGCTACTATAATAACATCAGATTGTCTTGGAGAAGCTCTAAATACAACTCCATATCTATCCATATCATATCTGGGAGCAGCAATGTGCATCATTTCAACAGCACAACAGGCTAAACCAAATGTCATTGGCCACATAGATCCTTTGCGACCCCAATTTAAAAGATCATCTAACCTTGCTACTGCATATTCTGCCAAATTGTTGGTATTTTGAAAAGGGCTGTAAGGCTTCTTTTCAACTTTATCTGGCACTTTTAACTCTGAGGACATATGTTTGGCCTGAGAAACTAGAGATCCAGGGCATCCTGATAGGGCTATGTTATTGCGTATCAGGGATGCAAGGCCCTGATTAATAGTGGCTAAAAAAAGGGAAGAAATATTTTTATTTATGCCAATTTATTAGGGATAAGAACAAGTTTATATATTTCTTATATTTATTCGCATTTTGTTCATATATAGTATGACTCCCGCAAAGGTCAAATAAAGAACGTTATTTTTTAGTATTTTTGATACATAAGGTTATGAAATATGTTGCAATAAAATTTGAAACGTCAAGCTACATCTCAGTTGGAAAAGCAAAGTTAATTTTGTTCAAATTGCCGCATCTTATGCAACACAAACTATTAGATAGAATAGAGCACAAAATTAAACGTGAAATATATACGGAACGTATTTGTATATTTGCAATAAGATTTCATTAAAAGGAACGGCACATTATTGCACTATATTCTTATGTCAATTTACTTAATTGTTGAAAACAATTGAACGTATTTTGGTATTAACTGTCGAAAACTTACGCGAAAACATGATAGAGCGAAACATTTTCAGCTCTGTACCACCCTCGCTTCACGCAGTTGTCTGCTACACTGTGATTCTGCGCTTTACTGCACCGGATAATATTTACCGCAGTTCGCGATATTGACTATATGAGACTAGTATTTTGAGAACATTTAATTTTACTACATAAATAAACAACTGTTTGATAGATATTTAAAAGATTATTTATTTATTAAGTTATTTTTACTGTTGTTTAAGTATTATTTATTATTTGATATTGTTCACTTTTTCTAACCAAAAAATTGTAAACGTGTAACGATCTTGTAATAGTTACGTTTAAGAATTATTCGTACATTCTCGATACTATCTTCGTGCACTTTTCGAAGTTTTTCTCTTGAATTTCGGAATCTTCACGCATTTCTAACGCTATCCGGAAGTAGTTTATTCAATTTTGCAATGGAATATTGTTTAAACAATGAGATTTTTGCAAAAGTAAATGTATTTGGTGCGTAAGAGAGAAGTAAATTCATTCAAAAATACATACATATATATGTGATAAATTCAGGTAAGGAAAATGAATAAAAGGAACTATTCTTCTCCCTTCGTAGAATGTTTTTATTGGCTCAGTTTCTGTTTTATACAAAACATCTAACAAACACAGATGCTTTCCGCTGACATTTTTTCTTTCTTTTAAAACTTCGCCTCACGAAAGCGGCTAATCTATCGACTTCGCGGTTTTTTCTAGTCTTGTGGTTCCTTTAAGGGCACGCTAAATTACAATGCGATACTGATTTTTTTTTTGCTTCAACAGTGCTTGTATGACGACGCGTCTAATCATATTACAGTAGCTATAGTCATGGTGGTCGTTAAAAAGTCAAAACGTAAGAAAGTGTCTCTCAATGAGCGACTGCGCTACATCAGCAAAGGACGGGGACGTCAGCTAGGCCATCGAACGAAATTTTCACTATCGCGTATAGCTCGTAAAACGGATTCGCTATATACAAAAGACGGTCCCTACAATTTTGTCACTTTATCAACCGAGCTAATTTCACTTTCGCTTAAATACTCTGATTCTACGTACTTACACGCATATGTCCGATAAGTGCTTTGTTGAACGAAAACTGCGTTTAATTAAATCTCATTTAAATACTAGGCGCGTGGGAACTGTGTATGTGCATCTGTACGTCGTATCGTATAGAGATTTCGTAGAGAACTATTTAGCAAAAGTTCGTTAACCCATAAACATCTAGGTAACATTAAGTAACAACTTATTATTTCAGCAGCAACAACCGGGATCATTTGTTGTCCCTTCCCGTCTCGGATCGGGTATCTGAGTGACGCCCTCTACCAGCAGCAGCTGCTTAAATACTTTACAAATGTTGTAACAGTGTTGTTTTATCTCCTCGTATGACGGCCTTATGGCGCGTACGCATGTGACTTCCTTGTAATATTAATATGAACGCTTCCGTGTTTTTCGTTTATCAATTCATTTTTCTTTGATTTTGCCGTTGTCTCAACATAAAATTTTAAACATTAGCATTTAGAAATTACGAGTACGATTTCATATAAAGAAAGTCTGATTAAAAATGAAAAAAATACGCGTGATATACGCGTATCGTTTCGAAACAGCCAATACAGATTGAATATTTGTAAGTTCCTCTTTTTATTTGTTTTGTATTCGTCCAATTGCAAGGAAGTCGACAACAATCGATGGTTTAGTTATGGCACGAATTTTTCTGGAGCTTACAGTCTACGATGCCGAGGTATCGACTAATCTACTAAAAATGTGATCTTTAAAGATGATACTCTAAATTGTTTTCTATTGAACCTTGTCTAGAATTCTCAATTTTACTTTGTGCGCCGTTTCTTTGTTCATTTTCGTAGACGATTCTTTTTAAATCACCCCTACAGATGAAACCTTACTAACGTAGCTTCATTTTCGGACGTTCTAATGATTTTATAAATCTTTGTGAGCCTTCCGGTGCGCATGTTTCACGTGCGCAAATGATACTCACTCGAAATCTTGTCGGAGAACGAACTGCACGCGAAATGAAAATGACACAAGACGTTTTTTATGTGAAAAATTTCGAATCCAATTTGTAATTTTTTAATAATTACTTTCACTCGAGTGAATTCTACTTCAGCACCACCTTCCGGTAAGCCATCGTTGACATCATGAATTATAACCATGAGTAAAACAGGGAGTGTCGTTATCTTCATTAAATTGAGCAAGTTTTCGTCCAACATTGATATTAAAAGATTCCAATTGATATCGGATCAAGATAAGAAGTAAAACGAGGAAGGGGATTTTTTATGAAAGAAACGTATAAAAAATAATATAAAAGAGGTGTTCATTGTAGGAATAATGATATTCGTATTCTTTTCCCCCTTCTGTTCTTCGTCTCACTTCCTAATTTTCTCTCTTTTCTCTCTGTGCGTTAATTTTCCTTTTTCAATGACTTTCAAACATAAGTTAATCCGCAGAATCTCGTTTATCTGTTGTATCCGTTGTTGATATGGCCTGACAGATTCTGCGCGATTCAAGAGATCGAGCATCGCGAAACGACCATACATAACTTTCATTTGCGTTCCGTAGCGAGTATCACCGGCGCAGATGAACGTTTCTACGTAGCGTGTAAAACGAAAGGTGAAACGTTTAAGCGGCTAATGATTAAGTCTGCGTAATTCCATGGCTGCGATGTCGTCCACGGATATAAGCTTTTCTATGGGGATGCAAGAGAGCTCGCCACCAACGCATGACGGCGGCTGCTGCCACCTGGCCTCCTTCTCCGCCTCTTTCGCTTTCAGTTGCGCTTCTCTCGCCCTTCGTTCTTTCAACTTTAGCGAGAAGATTGCCACTGACCTGGCTCTCTTCATCAGGCTCTGTTTCACCCTGGTTTTCTTCGCCTCCCGTTCCTCCTTCCACGGTTTCTCCTCCTCTTGACTAGAGATCGTCTTGCTTGAATCTGAAAGACCGCTTGAGTCCTTCTCCTTCTCGGACGACGACTGTTGTTTTTGTTCCAGAGTCTCGCGTTGATGTTGTTGATACTGTTGCCTTTCAGCCTTCTCTCGTTCTCTTTCTCTCTCAGGGGAGAACCGGAACTTCTGATTCCTATGAGCTACTGTCCACGGAGGGGCGGATCTTTAAAAAGGAAGAATTTATATAGTTAGACAATTCGACAAAATAATTATTCCTTCACTCTAAATGTACCTAAGGAGGTCACTGTCTGAGGACGAGGCAAGGTCCTTGGAAACGATACAGTCAGTGGACCTATGGAGAGTCAGTTCATCTCCACTGCCACTGACACCAGCTCCACTGATCTCAGAGTCGCTGGACTTTCGTCCGCCCGCTTCGAGTCCCAATCTTCGAACCCAGTCCACACCTCCATGAGGTCCGATAGTTAGATGATGACTGTAGTGATCTGTTCCGCCTGTTGCTTCTGATTCGGTCTGGAGCCACTCTCTTGAACGTCTTCCTGTACATTCCAGAAGCGAAAATATACATACATATATAGAATTTATCCAGAGAAGCTTCTTAAACTATACCAATCGTTCTTAAGAAAATGGAAGCAGTCGAACCTCGTTCTCCACCAGGAATAGAGCACCTAGGCGAATTGTGGATGTCTCGTACGCTGCCCATGTTGTTCTCGGTTAGGAAGGGGATGCCTGTGTCACTGCTGCCTGCGCTAATAGGTGTCTGAGCCTCGGAAGGAGTTTCAGAGATTCTTGGCACTGAAGCTGCGCTTGGTGTCGGTGGGCTACTAGGTGTCTGCGTGGTTGATCCCAGAGTTGGTGTATCCGGAAGACTGGAGGAGGTTGCGTCTCCGGTACGATCGGATAGCAGCTGTTGTTCTTCGCTCTCTCCGTCTGCTGGACTCACCACGAATCTCCCTGAGTTCGAGCGAAATTAATATATGGTAGGAGGAAGGAAGAGATTGTGGGCGTGTGGCGATCCGATCAGGAGGCGAATCAGTGGCAGCAAAAAGTGACGAAGCGTTAAAAAAATGGCGAGCCATAAAATTACTCGAGTTCCTAGGGTCCTTGAATTTTCAGAATTCTCGAGTTCCCAGAGTTCTTCGAAGTTTTCGAGTTCCTCGTAACTCCTCAAACATTTGAAACACTTAAGCGACAAATACGAGTGCATTTAATTTTATACTGATCGGGTTTCATAAGCAGGAAAACTTTCCTTAATCGGAGAATAAGCGGAACAAGAAGGAGGATGCAACGATAGGAACCAGGTTGCGTAGCACGTTACATTCAAGAACGTTAGTTCCACGAATTATTTACCTATCACTGTGGCCGGTTGTTGTTCCGGTGATGGTGTGGACGACAACCTTCTGACCGCCTCTCGTCTCAAGAACTCAACCTTTGCCATTTCTGTGGCCACCCAATGTGGAATATCGGGAATTGCACAGATTATTATGAATCTTATACCAAGCATGATGTGTTCGAGAGCAACTATCAGAAGAATCGTCTGAGTAGCTGACATTTCAGGGAACATTCTTTGTACCTGCCCGCTCAAACCTATTAAGGCGCAGTTCACCAAGATGGCGACCAATCCCATTGCCTCCATGGCATTCTAAAAAGTAAAAAATTGTTGTATTACTTTGTAATTGTACAGGAATCCATGTAGATGTAATTTCATTCACTTCAGCTACTCACTTGCCAGGTTCCAATGTTGGAAACTCTTCGACCAAACGGCCGCTGGAGCACAAAACACAGCTTGAAGGCATCACCTCGTAGCTCAAGAAGGTTTCCAAGCAATGCCGCCATGGCAGCCAGAGGAAAAGCTGAAGAGAACAGGCACACGTATCCCAGCTGTGACAACATTTCCAGATGTTCTGAAAACGCCCCGTCGTACTGCGAATAGAGAAACGTTTCGCATATTAGTTTGTTTATGCACATTTTGCATAAAAAAAAAAATATCTTATAATTATCGTTGTATATTATTGTTAAAGTAAATCTTTCTTGTGATTCGTTGCTGTTTATTATCTTAGTAAAATGTCTTAACTTCTTTTTCTCATATTTCTCCGACAACAGAACAGCAACGATATTATGTATATACCACAGTCTACGTAATTCAAGGGACATCTAGCGGAACATTTTCTATCACGTGAATAGTGTAACTAGCACAGGTAGTGCAAGGGTCACTACGCTCGTCGAACGAAAAATAAGAAGCTAGCGTTTAAGAATGGAGTCAGCGTGATAAGCCGTGATCCTTCGATTCACCCTTTCAATTACTGTAATTTTTTTTATTCTTTTTATTTCATATTTCATAAAACGTTCCGTGTCTCGAGTTCTATAACTTCAATGTTCGTAAAATTTTCATGGAATTAGTAAAGATAGCTTTTGGCGTATTATTTAGAATTTAATGCAATCCTTATTTTTCAAATTCTCAAAAATTCTCTTTACGAATTCTTCCAAAACGTTTATTTTCTCTTTACCATGAAATCTGTAAATTTATCATGCGATCAGTAATTGAAAGGATCGAGTATTTAACAATAGGATGATCAGGTGACATTACCTTTTTGCTCGATATCTGCGCGTCGCCGACGGAATCATTGGGAAACGGGACAAAAATCATTAAAATTCTGCAAAAAAAACCGGTCAGACAACACAGGACAACATTGATTAGCTCCTCCGTCCGCGTGTGCATCGTACTCTCATACTTATCCTCCCCCAAAAAATATCAAGAAACCAAATGAAAAGAAGATACACAGAAGCCAGGGTTCATCAAGGAAGATACCGGAAAGGAACAATAAAGAATCATGATGTGATGTATGAAGGAACCCATCTGCATTGGCGACATTTACAAACCTTAAACAAAAAGAAGAAATGAAGAAACAAAAATATAATACTTCCATTTCACACACACACACACACACACACACACTATACATTACAACTTTGTCATTTTTCCATTTGAAATATCAGCATGTAACAATCGTTAAATATCCTTAATGTTTACTTGTAAATTTCGCCAAAACGTCAAGGATCAGCGCGTATCTGTGATAGTGCGTCGAAAACTAAAGAAATTGGCTAAATCTAGACCAAACCTTGAACGTAACGTCACTAAGTAGAGAATTAGTGGGATGCCCTACTCTGTAGAGGGAACTCTCCAGCTCAGCTTGGCTGACGTTTCGCGGCTGTTTTCCTTTCCCGCCCTCGGATCGTTCGCTCTTATCCTCCGATTCCTTTTGGTTCTCGTTCTCTTCGCCAGGTGGCGGCCTATCCTCGCTCGGGCTCAAAGCGCCGAACAGCTCGAAGCTTAGACGAGCCAATCGCAGTTGCTCGATCAGATACGGCACAGCAGACTCTTTCAGGTTGCCAATCACTTGGCGGGCTATCAGCAGAGCGGCCAGTTGCTGAAACCATAAAGGCGAACTTTTTATTTTTTGCTATCGAAACAGCCGACACTTTTGTAATTTTTTACATCTCTTCGAGTCGTTCATATGGTTTCAAGTGAAAGTTTTGAAGTGAATTTCAGAGTATAAAATTTCGAGTCGTTCGAGTTTTATAACTCAACGTCGTTTCAAAGATTCTTCGGTAGATTGAACGACAGTTTTCAGAGTGATTAACGATCTTCGAAATATTGCAATTTAAGATCTTTGCACAATTTTGTTCAAACGTAATTTTCACTGTACGTAATTCTTTAGTTCAAAGCAACAAAAAGTTCATGTATCTGATCATTAGTCGACTTATTCTACTTATTGCGATTCTTCAAATTTCTATTAAGAATAATCTAACGACTTCTAATAATAAGTGCTAATTACACAGATAATAGTTCACAAGTATATAAAGAGTTGTACGTGATAAAAAAAAAGTCATTCGATCTATATAGACTGTCTAAAGGAATTCCGTCTATGGACATTCTCGAAGTATAATCTCAAGAGAATACAGAGAGAGAGAGAGAGAGAGAGAGAGAGAGAGAGAGAAGGAAGAAACGGGAATAAAGGGGGACCCTTACCTCTTTGAGCCTCTCTTGATCCTGTAGGTAGAAGGCGATGTAAAATAGCGATAGGAAGGAGTTTACAAACTGAAACTGAAATACATAGTCTCTTCTGTATACTCTCTATTTGTCGTGGTGAATTAAAAGACACAGGCTAGAACGCACGAGACCACAAGCGAGAAAACGTAAGATTACGAACATTTGGCTACCATGAGCAACATGTTTGTCGTACAAGCGCAAGCAGAGTGAAGTATTTCTCGAGGGAGAATCGAGTTTTCATGCAGCGACAGAGACAGCCAGAGCAAACATTTTCTTTTCTTATTCTCTCGTTTGTCAGATCAAACGAAAATTGACACATAGCTTTCGCTCAGCGCTATGATTGGAAAGGTTAGATTAGGTCCACCTCTAAGAGCAGTTTGATATTTCTTTTTCGGCAAATTTTTAAGAAATTTTCGCGGTACAATCTTTCAATTATATGTTCGGGATGAATGTTTTTTGAACGTTTAATTGAAAAAAATATTCATGCTGCGTGGACGGCGTTGAAAGTTGTTTCAATCGTTGAATAAATTGTTTTACAAGGAACGAGATTTTATTTAAAAAAATAAAGGAAAATGATAATTCTACGAATTGATTAGAGGAGGACACATGAGAAACATCTAGCGCAATACATAATGTAATATATAACTCTATTCGTTGAAAATGGAGAGAGAGAGATTCTTCTGTTATTACCAGTGCCACCTTGTAGATCAGATGATTCTCGTACTCTGTGTCTAGCCGATAGTTTTCTGCGTCCAACATACAAAAATTACAAAATACTATCTACTGCAACATGACTGCTCTCCAATATATAAAAGATGGAAAAAGAAAAATAAAGAAAGGTAGAGATAGAATAGATAGAGGAATATTAACAATATCTATGTATAAATATATATGTGTATAATATAATATCTTACTCTTATAATGTACTCCTATAATCAGGAGAAGAGAATACAAAAAACATTCGCCTGTTAAAAGATCCATTATTCTATTAAAAGATGTTAATGATCAGGGACATAGTTTTGAGTTTATTTTCTAATAAAAGCTAAGCCGTGAAAAGATTCGAAAAAAAGTATATGTATATATTTGTATGCTATAGGCTCTTGACAGTCTTAAAAAAAAAAGAAAGAACAAGAGAACTGAGAGAAACTAGACGTGCACAGTGTCTCGTGAGAATACACAAAAGTCGATGCTTGAAAAAAAAAAAAGAGTTCATTAGAAAAAAAAAAAAGAAGAAAAAAGTACGCTCTCTCGTATCTCGCTTTTCGCATGGGAATACGTAACAATATACTTATGTATATGTACGTACCCCCGAGAAAGAGAGTGATAGCAAGACTATATATGTATATATATATATATATATGGGAACCAAAAAAATGTACATAAGTTTTTCGTCCATTTTCCTTCTTGCCTGCCTCTATACATACGTACCCATATCGTTCAACCATACGGCGACTTTGAAATACGCCTCGTCCATTAACGCTATCACCACTGCGAGTAGAACTTTTGGCACGTAGCTCAGCCAGAACCCATAACCCCTCGACTCTAGCCGAGCATCCCACCAATCCTGAAATGATTTTTTGAAACATTTAAAAAGCAGGTATATAAGAAACAGCGAATATTCGAATAAGACGTTCAGAATATAATCGTAGACGGTTTATAATGCGTAACTCTGTCGGTATGTAACGACATATTCGACAGTTGCAAGATGCAGCGTTGCATGACCGGTGTAAGGGGCGCCATATTAGCATACAGTACCGTGCTAGTCAAAATAATGGGAAATAATTAAATACATACGTACCTAGTCATGCGAGCATTTAATTATTTTTATTAACTTTACCATTATAGCCATCTATGAAATTTATCTTAATTCGAAAGATTCTGATAGTATTATTTAACGTTTTCAAACCTAACGTACAATTTTGTATTACTTCTTTCTCACAGAAAAATCTATTAAAATAGTTATTTCGAAATTTATTTAAGAACGAGATTAATATTTGTTTCGGAAACATCGTTCGTCAAGATCGTTCAACAGAGTTTGTGTATAAAAAAAAAAAAAAAAAGAAAAAATGAAAAAGGAGGAAACGCGGAAACAGTATGGTTCTTTTAGGCAATTGAATTCGGAAAGTTGGTCGAAACGCGACGAAAAGTTTGACGGCATAATGATAAATCGATCGGCGGAACAGCTGGCCCCTGTTCAACTAATTCCGTTCGTTCGAAAAACTGCAGCCTTTTCGTTTTTCTTCGGCCCCGGTAGATTTTTCCAGCAGCTTGACAAAAACATCGTTCAAGCCTGGAAACTAAACTGTCCCGGGCTTTTTCGTCGCGTCGCACAATTCCGTAAAGGAAACTTCCTTGAGTGCGACTTTAGGCACGCTGCCAGGCACGAATTTCACCCGGAACAGTCTGTTTTGTTCGCGATTTATTCCTCGGACATTTCCGAACAAGTATGACAAAGTAGGAATTTCAATGCACGAAACGACGAAGGAGGAATTTTTTATTAAGCAGCGATTTCGAGAGTTGCGAATGTTAAACGATATACGATACGTTTGATCTGCCAAGTTAAATCTTCTATTTATTAAAAATCAGAGAAATGGATCAACTGATTCTTCTATTCTAATTCTTCCTATTGTAGCAACGCCACAAAATACAAGAAAGAATGTTTTTTTATAATAAATAATCGAACGACGGATGAAAAAATGTATCGGAAAGAAAATTTCTCACTGAAAGTTTACTTATGATGTTAAAAGGGTTGTTAAATAGGGTATAGAAAGAAAGAGTAATTCGAACCTGTATCTGAAAGCTGAGTATCATCACGATGAAAACGAAGAATAAGCACGCGGCGATCACCGGTACGCTGACGAAATACCGGAACATGTTCCTCTTCCATCTAGGATAGGTTGGCTCCAGTCTTCCGGTCACAGGCGAGGTCTCCAAGGTGCCCTGCAACAGTGAGAAGAAAAAGAAAAAAAACGAAGGGAATTAAATTACATTCGGGGGAAACTTTCTCGCGGTAATTTCATGCCGGGGAACCGGCGAAACCGGCGGAAGTAGAGACGAGAGGTTTTCCTGAGTTCGCGGAGCTTTCGAATTCCGGGGAATTTGTTTTACTACAGTTCCCCGTGTTCGATGATATCGGAATTCGCGAAATTTGAGTTTCCGGTGTTTCCCGAAATTTGATTTCCCAGAGTTTCCCACGTTTTAGAGGCTTTGGAGCTCTCGGAATACCCGAAATTTGAGTTTTCGGAGGTATTCGAGTTCTCAGAGTTTCCCGAAATTTGATTCCCCAGAGTTTCCCCATTTTAGAGGCTTTTAAGTCCTCAGAGTCCCCGAAATTTGAGTTTTCGGAGGTATTCGAGTTCTCAGAGTTCCCCGAAATTTGATTTCCCAGAGTTTCCCACGTTTCAGAAGCTTTCGAATTTTGGAAATCCCCGAAATTTCAATTCCCAAAGTTCCCCACATTTTACAGGTCTTCGAATTCCGGGAATTCCCGAAATTTGAGGTCCTAAAGTCTTCGAGTCCTCAGAGTTCCCCGAACTTTTAATTCCCAGAGTTTCCCACGTTTCAGAAGCTTTCGAATTTTGGAAATCCCCGAAATTTCAATTCCCAAAGTTCCCCACATTTTACAGGTCTTCGAATTCCGGGAATTCCCGAAATTTGAGGTCCTAAAGTTCCTCGAGTCCGCAGTGTTCTCATCATTCTCATAATTCGAATTCCCCCGCGATTTAAATACCTTCGAGTTCCCAGAATTTCCGAAATTTGAGAGACGGTAGGTGTTGGTAATTGCTCGGGAACTTACCGTGAACAAGGGTCTAGGCTCGAGAAGTAGGTCATCCCTTTGATCCAACGTGCCCCACCTGTAGGCCAATTCGGCACCCCTTCTTTTCCACGTTTCTAGATAAACGGTGGCCCAGATTACGTTGAAGACGGAGAACAGTACATACGCTACGTCTTCCACCGCTTGATTCCTACCGATGATGCCCACCTATGGTGTAATCAAATACGCAGAATAATACGACGTGTATGTGTGTGTGTGTCACAGCGTTAAAAACGAAATGAGAAGAAAAATTGGACGAGTTTTTCTTTTTTTCTTCTGTTATTTCTCGTTTTACCCAGTATATGGCACCCACTGCAGCTGGAACGATCAAAGCGGTGGTGTAATGACCGAGCCACGCGAAGTACATGGTAATCTTGACACCGAAGTATTTACAAATGTCGTCCAAGGGTTGGGGGCTGAGGAACGCGCGGACCCATGTCCGCTGCAGCTTCTCCAACGCAGGCAATTCGTGAAGAGGGAAGACCTGATCGAACATTCACAATCATATTCTACTTACAACTATGTACTCCTTTTTATCTCGTACAAAAGAAGCATCGATGAAAAGCTCGATTTTACTACATCTACATATACAGTGGAGGGCAAAAGTATTCATACGCCCTATAAAATGGAATAACTTTCTTAAAATTGGACCAAACGACTTGAGTTTCTTCGAGAAGTTAGAAAGATTAGTTTACTAGATGACGTGTAAAAAAATTTTTCACAAAAGAGCGCAACGCGACAATGTCGAAAAGTTACAAATGGTAATACTTGCTGGTGTATCGAGCATTCACTGTTTTTCGAAAGCTGCTGGTGGGTCATTTTGGCCTGGCCGGTAGTTCTACTGTTAAATTTAACTTATACGAAAACTATCGTCAAAAATTCTATCTGATTACGTATACGTATTTCTTTATAATAGAAAAGTGTGAAAAAGCTGAGATCGAAGGAAACTTGACACTGATTCGATCTTCAGATGGAAGATTTACAGAACATTCGCGTTATATCAAGTGACACCAACCTACTAGTGTGGGTCGTCCTTAGAAGGACTCAGGGTGCCTCAGCTTTGTAGCTTATACCCCTATCAGACCAGGTTTCTACTTTCCATCGAAACCACCAACCGAAGAACAAGCCAGTGTATGAGCGATGACGCCCGACCATGCTTGAACCCCAACTTGGCAGTAAGGATTTTTGCTGTTGGACTTTTACAATTTCTAGACGTTAGTAAGGATGGAACTAACGTCTGTGTGAAATTTCAGCCCGATTGGAAATTTCAGCTCGATAAGTGACACCAACCTGGGAGATGATCCCAGCAGAAATGCACTTTGGAATGATAGCTTGACCCTCGACCATCTTCAGACCAGATAGACTGTGAAGATCTTCTGGACCTGCCCTAAGTGTGTGCAGCAGGTGCAGGACCAACGACTGCCTCTCCTGAGTGGTGAAGAATCGAGTTTCGTCGTCGCTGCCTTCGAAGCAGTTCGCTTCAGAGCCCATGAACTCCTTCTGTCCTCCGCCGTACTCTTGTCGCAGAGTTTTCGGCAAATGCACCTCTTCGGCGGCTTTCAACAGTCTGCCGAAAACGGTCGAATGTTTGTTCGAGGTGGACAGAGTTTATATTAGGTGTACAAATTAATTCATGCGATTAATCAGCTGTAAACTTTACTTCGAATTCAATCTTTTTCTCCCGCTGTGTTCGAGTTCTGAAGTTGCTTCTGTTAGCAAAACGAAACACTATCGTCACCAATGACACAACCTAGGAAACAGTGGAGAACTTTTTGCGTTTCAACTTGAAAAAAGTGCTCTTGAAGCGAGAGGTCCTTGTGACGGGAAACTCTGCCTCATGCGGCTTATTCCATCGGACTGTTATCTCTTTCGTTCACTTCACCACCATCTATAACCCAGCCGTACTCAACCAACGGCCCGCCAAGATCCCGTGTGCGGCCCGAAACACGCACAGACACAGTTAGAGTTCGTGAGAGAAAGATAATTTAATTGACATAATACCAAGATATAAACTGTACTAAGTTACGGCCCTCCAAAAGTTTGGAATCACCGAGCATTGGAATTTACACGAAAATTTCCAGAAAAAAGTCAGCGACTTTGAGAATCTTTTATCCTTCTAAAAGTAGAATTGAGATAAACTTCAAGTCTATAAAAAAATTGGCAACAGATTTAATATCGACGAAAAGTGGGAGGTGATTCGAAACTTTTCGTCGGTAGTGTATGTGGCCCGGGAAGAAAAAAAAGTTGAGTATGGCTGATCTAACCGATTCAAAATTCAAAACGTACGAAGATGTCGATAATAGCATTGCTGATTTTATACCTTCGAAACCGGCATCATTTTTTCGAAAGGGAGTTCGCTAACTGCCTGAGAAATGGAAGAAATGTAGTGTAAAGTTGCCTAATATGAGACCCATTTCTTAAAGAAGTCGTAACTGTCGACTAAGAACACTTTTATCAAAATTCGATGCATGTTTTAAAAGTACGATATGTATTCTTTTGTAAGGTACTGGAATGTACGGTAAAGAGAATTCGGTTCCTTCGTAATAAAATAAAAACGAAAATTACGCAAATACACAGATTTCAAAAATGGGTTCCTAATTATGGAAAACTATTTTTCCCGTCTTTTTTCACACAATGGGGCGTATTAAGACTGTTTCTTCAGCACCGCAGACTTCGTGGGCTCGCCGGTAACACTTTGTACGCTAAAAGAAAATTGGGTGCCTAATATGAGACTCTTCTTGTAACAGGAACCTCCGAGGGTCTCATATTCGGAGACAATAACACGATAGCTATTAAGCAGCTTCGAGATTAAGTCTTTGTTATTTAACGATACGCAACTAGTAAGCCTTAAACTCCAGTATTTATGAAAATGATTATAAACTTACTATTTTGGGGGTATTTGTAATTTAATCGAACCACTTGAAAAACTTTCTGCAACGTATTGCACAAATATGCTTGTTGAAGACGCTCAATCGATTTGAATCAAATTTCATATTTAATTTGATAATTAACGCGGTTAATTCGAGAGTTCTGTAACGGAGATATGCTGGGGTCTCATAGTCGGCTACTTTACCCTATAGCAAGCGATGGAGATTATTTCCAACACTGAACTGTACTTTGTTCAAACAAAGGCCACGAATTAATTTGTACACCTAATAGTTAACACATGAACGGTAGGTATATAGAGTCTTTTGGGGAACGGATGGTATACTTACACGCTGAAAGGGGCTGTTAAGTAAAACCCGTAACTATCTGACGAGGCATGGTGCCGTACGTGCACCACTAGGCCCGGGGTTCCAGCCCGAAGTCTGCCTAGAAGCCACATCAGGGTTTCGTCGCTCGTTCCGCTTGGGAACATCATCACGACGTCGCATTCCTGAACAGACGAGAACTCGTGAACGACTGATATCGAATTGCTTTGTCGAGAAATATCGTTGGAAGTTTTGATCGATGGATTTTTACGTTTCTCTCGGTTTCCTAGGATTTTCGAGTTCCTGAAGTTCCCAAGTTCACAGAGGTTCGGGGATTCCTGAAATTTCAGTTCTCAGAGTTGTACGAGTTTTTAGGATTTTTCGTGTTCTCAAGATTCTTGGGATTCCCGAAATTTCCGTTCCTAAAGTTCCGCGAGTTTTTAGGATTTTCAGAATTCCCAAAATTTCAGTCCCTAAAGTTCCCCGAGTTTTCAGGATTCTACAGAATACCCCGAAACTCTCAGAGAGTTCCCAAATAGGAAAACGACACTCGTAACTTTTTCGGGAATCAGAATGGTCGCGTTACTTTTCGAGTTCCTGAAAAGCTGAAATTCCCAAATTGTGGAGTTCACAGAGTTTCGGGGATTCCTGAAATTTCAGTTCTCAGAGTTGTACGAGTTTTTAGGATTTTTCGTGTTCTCAAGATTCTTGGGATTCCCGAAATTTCCGTTCCTAAAGTTCCGCGAGTTTCCAGGATTTTCAGAATTCCCAAAATTTCAGTCCCTAAAGTTCCCCGAAACTCTCAGAGAGTTCCCAAATGGGAAAACGACACTCGTAACTTTTTCGGGAATCAGAATGGTCGCGTTACTTTTCGAGTTCCTGAAAAGCTGAAATTCCCAAATTGTGGAGTTCACAGAGTTTCGGGGATTCCTGAAATTTCAGTTCTCAGAGTTGTACGAGTTTTTAGGATTTTTCGTGTTCTCAAGATTCTTGGGATTCCCGAAATTTCCGTTCCTAAAGTTCCGCGAGTTTTTAGGATTTTCAGAATTCCCAAAATTTCAGTCCCTAAAGTTCCCCGAGTTTTCAGGATTCTACAGAATACCCCGAAACTCTCAGAGAGTTCCCAAATAGGAAAACGACACTCGTAACTTTTTCGGGAATCAGAATGGTCGCGTTACTTCCCAGTTACCAGGGGGG